AACATGTTTGGATTAACAATATGATTTATTGTTGTTATTAATGGCTTATAACACAATTGTAAGAATTTGCTTTGATCTGAAATCTCCCCTCACATTTCAAAGGATTAATCCTAGCTATGCCTGAGCAGTCTGAAAGCGCTGTGACAGATGTAATGAGCATTTTGTTCATGGGCTCTCAGACTAACTTCATCATCATTTTATAAAAACAGTTTCTTGCATTTAGAGTTAACCTGAATGGTAAAAGGACACTAAAAAAAATGCAAATAAGCATTCATTTTGGAAAAACTGTTCCTTGAAAGAATTTTGCCTAAATTTGTACTCATCTGCATTTTTAAGTATGCATGAAAAAAAAAACCACCCTCCAAATTTTTCTCAAATGCCAGGTATTTTTCAGAGGTTCTTTGTTGTGGTTTGGATACACCATTTCAATCACACTTTTTGAGAGTCACCAGCTGCATGTTCTTTCACTTCTGATCCTTCCTGCTCTTCAGCCTGACACTTTCCTTCTGGCTTTCAGAGCTTACCAAATGCAGTCCAGGATCCTGGATGTCAAAAGCAGGAGACTTCCTTGTAGATCTAAAGCTGTTAGGAGAGAAGCAGTACTGGTAAATTCCCTCCACCCAAATAAACTGTGTTTTTGGGGACAGATTCAAATGGCTGCTCACATGATAAGCCTTTTCCGAAGAGGTGGCAGCACGCAGGCAGCAGCATGCATGATTTTATGCTGCATGGGTCAGGTGACAAGGCGCGTGTCCTACAAAACGGCAGATAATTGCCAGTCTTCTTAGGAGAGCAGTAAATAACTGATGAATTTAGTTGGAAGGATATGATACAAGGAAGAGAATCATGTTGAAAGTTTTTATTTTTCTTAAAGTGGAAGTTTCAAACCAGTGGCCAAGGAGACCCAAACTTCTACAGCATTCACAATTAAAACTCTCTGCTAAGAGTCCACAGGGAGACCAAGAAAAATAATGTTTAACAGTTAACTGGCATAAGAGGAAATCATTCCTGAGTCAACTCACACTTCTGAAGAAATATGGAAAATGGAGTACAACCAAGGAAGGCAGCAATAAATGCACAGATAACACAGCACACAAAGGAAATACTGCTTTTCTGGATTATTTTACAGACTTGTAGCATCTAAAGCCTTCACACTCTGTCCTGCAAAAAAAAGTAGAGAAATTCAAATCCACAGTTATTAGAACTTCACAAGCCCTTAGTTGCCACAAAGCCAGTTCTCCTTTCTCCTGCCTTCTCTCTCCACCCACTTTCTCCTTTCACTTTCTTTAGTGACAAAGATGTCCCAAACAAGTATCTTTCAAAAACAAAGCTGCTGCAAGACCTCTTCTATTCAGCTGTTCCCTAATCTTCTTTTAATCAGCCTCACATTCTTGTTATCTTTGGCAAATTTCTCTTGCTTCTCAATCTCAGGGCCCTTCCTTGGCCCTGCATATCTTTCTTTGCTACTCTCATTCACCAACAGTTTCCAAAGTCCTTCAGCCTTCACATATCACTTGTATTATCTCTATCCTTCTCCTAGGGAACTCTCTCTAGCACAACTCCTACATAGTTTCACTACTCTCTTACCTCTCATGTAACCCAATAATTTGCTTTCAAAGGGAAGGGTTACCAGTGCTCTTTACCCCCTCTTTCCACAGAGTTTATGTAAATACGGAAAAGATTTCTCTCCTGTGACTCTACCCTGAAGTTTGGCTAGAAAGGAGGTGGAGGAAGGTAGATTTGTAGGAGCTACATTTCAAGTTTCTTGAGGCCAAAACTCCATCCTCAACAGGCTATTCCCTGATCAGGCTCCATTCTCACAGTATACCACATATTTTTCTCCGGGTCTTGTGTAACAACTGCAGAACTTCGGGCCGAGTACTCAAGAGTGAAATTTCAAACCAAGGATAAGAATGAAAATACGATAAACTTAATTGCATAGGTTACCACAGAAGCCTTTCAAATGGACATTTTGAGGCATTTGATTTTCTCATGAACAATAACATGTTTCAAGAGAAAGACATATTTTTAAATTAAAAAATGGTTTTTTATCAATCAGATTTCCCACTTTAAAAGTTACCTACTGAAAAATTCTGATTACCCATAGTAAGTTACTGTTTTACCTAGGTTACCTATGTTCATTTGAATCCCTGTTGGGCTGGGGGCGTGACGGGGGCAGAACATCTTTCAGAGTAGACCAGAACATAAATTTTTCATCTCTGAACCTCTTACGTGTACGTGTAGTTTCAAGCCTGGACTTTCAGGAGTAACCAGATAAGGATCCCAATGAGGAAGACAGATACGCTGACTAAGGGTTCAGAAGCACTTTTGAGCAGAAAGACTTTAAGAAGTTTTTCCACTTTTTTTTTCCCCAATTAGTACATACATGTGACAATAATAAGTAAATTCTGACTGTACACAGACATATAATGAAATAGTTATATATATAGGTGTTAAGATGCAAAACTAATAGGAGACATATGCACATGTAACTTCTGTTCTCCTTTCAAGGTAGGTACCATATGTTCCTACTTTATTGTTTGTTTCCGACTGGTCAGAAATATCTAGGTAGTTGCCTAACACATCTGATTTTGCCATATCTCCTGCGATGTTATTAATTGTTAACATGACAAAAGACAATTTTTCCCTTGGAAAAGACATGTTACAAAGTAGTCAGTAATTACGACGTTTTTCCTCCATCATCCCTTTTCAGATTTAGGTTTATGCTGGAGGGAGATGTCCTCTCAGAAATTAACAAACAAAATAGATGCACTAATTATCTCTTTGCATGACTTTGAGGGTTTATATAACACACTTAACTGAATAGTAAAAAGGGAAATAAGTATTCTTTCATACTTCCTCATTTATATTGTCTTTTTATTATGTAGATGAGATTTTCTTTTTCAGGAAGAGTTCAGGTGCTACACTTAACTAACCACCATTGCTCTAAATAGTTCTTGCTCTTCTTGCTCCATTTTTTTTTCTTGTGTTCCTCCATCCTTTGTCACTGCATGTCATGTCTAAAATCCTCATCCAATTATTTTTCTGCATGCTTTCTCCTCCTTCTTGTCACTTAGCATCATCTTCATTTCCCTGATGCAAAAACCTGGTTTTGTATCTCATCATTGGTAAAATTTAAAAAAAAGCCAAATATACATCTTACTGTATTCCTTGCACTGAGTTCTACCTTATTTCACTGACAAATCTTAGCACTATGGAAAAACAAGCTAATCATAATCTCAGAACAAACTTAAAAAGATACTAAGCCCTTTGCTACTCTGAGCCACAAAAAAGAAAGCAAAAATAAATTCTCAGTCATTTCAGAAGATGACCATTATATAAAGTCAGTACCTTAACTTATGTAATTAATTATGTATTAACTGTTATTGTCAGCAATATTTATGACTTTCTAGTCCCCTTAAAAACCTAAATAGGCCATAAATTATCCAAATACTCCCCTGGAGC